TCTCACCAACACTAGCTGAAAAAACTAAGACTCCGTTTGGCAAGAGCTAAATGAGATTTTTTGGCTATTTTAATCACAAAAAATTAAAATAGGCTATTTTAATCACAAAAAATAAAATATCACATCCAACCCATAATCATTACATTCTTCTCTCACAAAAAGTCAAAAAAAAAAATCAAAAAGCCAAAAAGTCCTTCCCAAACTAAACTTTTTAGCCCAGGTAAAATAGCCAAAAAAGTCAAAAAATTAAAAATCAAACCCACTTCCAAACAGAGGCTAAGCTTGGCTCATATTTTATTAGGGAGATGATTGTTCGTGATCTGCTCATTATGTAAACTAGTTTAGTTTATGTTTTAATGAATTTTTTTTTTGTTGATTAAAAGAATGTTAAATTATTTAATTTTAAACATATTAAGAACTCAATAAATTTTCAAGTTAAATTAAATAGGTATTCTTCGCGATTAGCTTATATATGCACTAAAATTAAGCTATTGCAATTTGACTCGTATGGAGTTTGTTAAAAGCTCACTTTAAAATCAATTTCATTATTTAATAAAAAAAAATAATTTATCCCACAATTTATTCTCTACAAATCTTAAATGACCTAGCAAGCAAATTTAACAAAATTGACTCACCCCTCCAATATTGCCTTAAAAACTCTCCTTGCATTGCATGTGCCACCTCATCTCAAGGGATTGTAATAGAGAAAATTATGTAAATGTAGCACTGTTGCATACATTTTAAAATTGTGAAATTTTTCAAAAAAAAAATTGAAACAATTTATATATTTAGCTCTACTAAATTCATTTATATCCTAGTGTAACACAATCAAATTATATTAATATAATAAATCTAACATGCTTCAATTAACATAACAAATATACATGAGAGAAGGAAAAAACAAGAGCATCTACTTCAAAACCAAAATTAAAACGCACGTTTTCAAGTCCATAAGACGTATAGCAATTCATAGTGCTATTGAAAGTTTAAACTCATCTCAGTATCTCCTCTAATTAATTAATAATCATATTACTTTATGCATTCATTACAAAAGAATAAGTCGAAAAAGTAGACTTAATGTATTTTCAATGAAGAAAATCAATAAATAATAAGTAGGCCATACAAGTGTGTCGGAGACGGGTTTGAAGTTAATTGACCGCCGCAATAAATTTAAAAAAGAAGAGAGAAAAGAAAAAAGAGAAGATTACATATAAGTGAGATTAGGCAAAAAAAATATATATACTATATATTTACAACAAAAAGGTAATATTCATAAATATTAATAATTAAAATTATAAATTTTCAGTTTTTTGTAATAAATATTTTTTTTCTCATGTATAGTTATTGTCCTCTAAAAACAATCTCATTTATTTCTAAAATTAAAATTTTAAATATTTCACTCATCTTATAGAAGATTATTTTATATACACGTGCACAGCTATGTGTGTGCCAATTTTTAAAAATAATATATGAAAATAACGAAATCAAAAATACATACAACATTAAATGTCGGTTTACTCCCATTGATAAATATTCCTTTATCAAACTATTGATTATAATATCGAGTATCATCGCCTTTTAAGTTTAAATTTTATATAAAATCATTAATTATAGAAGCAGTTTTTAAAACAAATAGAAATATCGAACACAAAACAGAAAGAGGAATTTTG